GACCCAAATATAGTGATTGAGTCACTTACCAGCTGTAAATGCTCTAATAAGAATTGATGTCCCAGAAGGACAATATCAAGCTGCTAGTGAGTCTAAAGAACGCATGAAGCGTGATAGACTTGTCGGTTCCAAATATTATAATCCTCGAAAAAGTAAAAGAGCATAAATTGACAATGGTCAAACCGAGGAAACAAATATTTTTGAGTGATCTCCAGAAGAGACATTAAACATGACAAATAAGAAATTCAGGTACCTGAGACAATGATGAGATCTCGAGAAATTACTTATGTCATGTATAGAATAAATGGAACCAGAAGCAAATCGACGTCGTAAATAATATATTTGCATGCAATGTAGCAGTTGATATTATGAATGAGAAAGAGGATCATGAAACAAAGTCTATTGCATTGTGTACACAAAGTAATGATTTGGCCAAATCAAAAGAAGCAATAGACACAAAAGAAAGAGAGATTTGGACCAGAAGTCCTTTCACCTAAAAAGTGTGAAACAAGTGAGTTATAAATTTGGCATTTGTGCCGAAGAAGAATGAGTATGAAGAGATATACTCTCATGTGGTGGATGCAACTTTCAAGTTCATTAAGTCTGGCAATGAAAGAAGAACTTGACTTATACAACTCACTAAACAATGATATTTATGTAAAAGTCCCTGAAGGATATAATCATTAAGAATTAATGATATCATTGTTTTGTTCCCGGAAAATATTAGCTATTAATCAAATGAAAAGAAATTTGATTCATGGATATAATCACGAAAGTGAATATATAAAGCTAACAAATACCCATGTATATTTATAGATCAAAAGAGATCTTAGTCTAAACATATCGAAATTCCAGAAGAATTGTCGAAATTAGTATCACAAAAGAGATGGGATAAAAGATCTTGGAAAGACAAAGTTGTCTTAAGATATCCCAAATTCCCAAAATGTTATGGCATGATTTACATAAACAATGCTCACATATATTTGGTCCTGAAGTACCATACTTCAAATGCTATTTGAAAAATATGTTAGTCTCTTTCATAATTGAAAATGAGCATGAGATTATATATACAAGATAGATGTTTTGTATATAAAAGAGAAAATTTGGCCAGAAGTCCAAATGATTGTTTATAGAAAAAGATGTCATAGACTAAAAGTCTAAATGACTTTCATCAAAGTTATACTTATAGTAATCTCCAAAAGATAGTATTGGAATGCATCTCCTGAAGAAGATGCTTCCAAGGGGGAGAATATGATGATATGTGTGGTTGTACTCTTTTTCCTTATCATGGTTTTTATCCCATTGGGTTTTTCCATGAAAGGTTTTAATGAGGCAACAAAGAACACACAAATGAGAAACATCTAAAGAAGTCTTGTCATCTATTTATGAGATCAAGTGAAGCAAGGAGATTGATCAAGATGAATCATCTTGATCCATGCAACCAAGAAGAATGGCGATGTCAATGTTCTAAAGACTGTTCAAGTGAAGATTTTAAAGGAGTTTCCATCTGCTATTATCAAGAAGTTCATTCACCTAATCTACACGGATGTTCTCATGAGGGGGAGTAGTTGCGCGCTGTACTCTTTTTCCTTAACTAAGGTTTTTCCCTTTGGGTTTTCCTGGTAAGGTTTTAACGAGGCAGCACATGCGCACTTAGAAGATATTTTTAGATAATGGACTTCCAAGGGGGAGTGTTATAACTAGTTTATATGGAAGCCCATTATCGGCCCATATTCTAGAATGTTCTAGCTTGTTCTCCAAGTGTATTCCTCTCCAAGGAAAACCCTATATTGTAATCCTATATAAGGAGCTCATTACTAATGGAATAAGACACAACCAATTCCTCTCTTCTCTTGTTCTCTCTTCTTACTATAACAATCGCTATAAATTTAACAATTTGTTGTTTAAACTTTCGATTAATCAGTCATAGTGTCATACCTAGCTATAACCAATTTGTCTCGAATTACTAGCTACGAGCAACTTCTCTACCATCCTAGGCTATATAATCGATTATAGTGTAATACACATTCATTACCTCACTATATAGTCTATATTAAGCGTCTAGACAATACATAGCCCATAAAAGTTAAAAAAATAAATAAAATAAAACAAACTACACCAGAGAGTGCAGTTGTGCAAATACTCTCAAAATTTTGTGTAACAAAAAGGAGAGAGACAAGACTTTTCATTAAATGGTTCTTTTTCTAAGTAGAAAATAACTTGTGGTTAGTTTGTTTTTTTGGTTAAAGAACATATGGTTAGTTAAGTACACTGTAGTATTAAGTTAATTATACGAATTGTCAAACACTATTCTCTTCTCGATGCTAGGATAACGCTGTATACATATAAAATTCGGTTTTGTTTCTGTAAAATTCTCATTCTCAGTGGATCTAAGGGACTTTTTTTCCTAATATAGACAGCTAATTTAGAAATGGTCAACAAGACAAGAAGTAGTCTGAGTTCGATTGGTCAATTGGATACGTTTTTCAGTTTTCATAACAAAGCAATGTTATTCTTGAAGTTTTATCATTTAAGAGACAGATTATCTTTAAGTTCGATTTAAATAGTATCACATATACATGTACATAAATTAAGGCCCACATTATCCAATGTTCAATAACGCTCTATGAGTATGATCATGTTGGCAATTTGGCAGGCACAGATTATTCATACTTATTGGTTAAGGTTTGTGTTCGACGCCACATAAATGGGAGCTTCTACAAATGCACGATGAAACATCATGCTTTGCGTCCATTTTCTTCAATATAATTAATCATGAAGATGAATAAAATAACATTTCTGTTCGCGCGTTTTCTATCTAATTAAGATCCTTGATCACGTTAACAAGGGAAAGAAACCATTTGCATATTTTGTCGGCCAATAATTTCCCATGATGTTCTTAAAGGAAAATGTACTGATAATTAAGGAAACATTGTTTGCAGGAATCTTAACTATATATGATAAAAAGGAAAAAAAACAATAAAATCCAACCGAATTTCCGTTTGGGCAGTTAAAGAGGAATCGGTTCTATAGAAATGCCTTTAAGAGAATCATATGGTACCTATATATAATAAGATATGTACAATGTTTTATACCTTTGACTAACACTTTGAGTAAAGTGGTGATTGTTTCCTTGATGGTACATTTCAGTGATCTTCGATGTTATATCTAATTTCGAGGAGGTTATGGAATACAGAATTTAATTTTATAATATACTCTTTTTCTTAAGGATTTGCATATATTTATTATTTAGATTTGACTCATATGATCTATTCTTCCATGTTACCAAATTCCAAAATGGGAAGTCCTATATGTTAAATGTAAAGAACAAAAATAGTTTAGGACCACTAGACTAAATAGTACAAAAAACTGTTATTAATATCTGAGAAATAGTTTTTGTTGTGTTTAACAAACGATTTAAGGACGTGGAAATTATACCAAATGAAACTTTTTCAATGCTTTATGCCGATAGGTTTTATTCCGCCTAAAGAGTGGGTCCGAAATATACAAACACAACATCATGGATGCCAACTTTTTATATTTATGTAAATAATTTATTAGAAACCGTGTGGGTCCGTTTCATTTTAACACTTTCAAATGAAAATTTCTAACGATCGACAATTGGTCCATCCGCCACCATGTATGAACCTTTTGGATGGATTCTCAACGATTCTTGCTAATAATAATTATATTAAGTAATTGTCCAGCGTATTGCATTTTCCATTGCGAAATTGATGGTATGAGTAAAGTAATAAGCTGTATATCTCCTGTCTCCTGAGTTAATCTTGTTAAAAGAGACTATATGCATGGGACTTTTGCATGTGTTCACAACAACGTTTTGAGTTTTCTCCAAAAAACTGTCAACATATCCATTAGAACTCTACTATAACCTCTGAAATCATAACCATTGAAACTAAATACAGTCCATTGTCACCTTGCTTAGGAACAGATGTTTGGAAATAAACCTGGATATCCTCAAACCCATAAATTGTTGCAACGGAAACATTTAATCTAAATTATATTAATTAAAACCTAATTTCATAAACCAGCACCTTAAGCCTTGTATTTCATCAATACTAATTAACGAAGCTGAATTATTTTATCCGAAAACAAAAAAAAAATCAATACTAATCAACGTCAAATTTTAAGGTAGAAATGTATCAAGGTCAGATAACAATCAAGATTCAAAGATAAAAACTAACAATATTGTGCTTGGATTACCAAAAAAAAAAAACAATATTGTGCTTGGTTAACAAAAGAACAAAATAAACAAAAGCACAAAAGACAGTATAATAGGGAGTAATATGTATTTCTAAACGACATAAGGGATCCTGCTAGTAACCTTTTTTCTTGTATAAATCAACAAAAACAAAACAAACATTTGTCTTGTATAGAAATTCCAAAGAGAGAAAGAAATAAAAAATATGCAAATTCGCTGAAGATGGTAAGTTGGTAACACATACAACACTTCTCAAAAGGGCTTGTAAATATAAAATAATTGCATCTGCCGGGAGTCGAACCCGGGTCTATTGCTTGGAAGGCAATTATCCTAACCGTTGGACTACAGACGCTTATGATATGTGCTTGTTGTTTTAGTTATAAAAATCTTAATAAGGTGCCTTTTGTATATATATATTTTTTTTGGTAAAATGTGAAGATTTTATACCAATTTTCAATTTTTTACATAATTACAGAGATAACAGAGGAATTAGAAAGACCAAAAACTAAAGACAAACAAAGTTACTAAAAAGGAATAAAAAGACAGCAACTAGACACCTCAACCAACCGAAGGAAACCGACGATGAAACACCGAAACCAAACCTAAGCTTGGAACATTGCATAATTGCCACAGATCCAAAGACCTGGAATCCCCATCGTTGTTACCACGAGCCACCACATAAGAGGCCAGCCCTCAAAACCTCAAAAGATGTAGAGCCTACAGCTTCTCCGAGGACATACACAAAACGAAACCGCTTCAACGAACTACTCTTCAACCGGCGTCACGGGAGCTTCTGCGGGCAGCCAGAGAAGCCGCCTCTGGCCGCCAATCTCGAACTTAGAAAGCCACAAGAAACATCTCCCACGGAGTCAGAGTAGAAGCCTAGCACAGAGCCACCGCCTCTATCCACCATCGATTCACCACAGTAGCTTTGGCAGAGTCGTCCCCAATCTAAGACAGCGCCTTTGTATATTTGTGAACAACTAACATAAACTAATCATGATACAGTTAGTTATAGTAACTCAGATCAGCTGACACCTTTTAAAATGATTGTTGTTCGTTAACAGTTTGTTATATACTGATATATACTTACTGTAGTTTGTAGTTCTTCTCAAGTACATATTTAACAAAGGGTGTGAATGGTAGGCAAGTTAGAGTCAATCAGAGTAAATTGTTTTGTTACCAAGTGATTTAGAACTTTACTCCATATAAAAAAGGTGAGAAGTTTTACTCTGATTTTTGTGGATCTATATCATTTCTATCAACCTTTTTTATTCCACATTAGTATCTTATATATAATTAGGGAGTTGCTCTCTCCATCTAGAGTGTCCACATCAGCACAAAAATAATAAATTATATTTACAATATTTATTAACAACTTGTCTTTTCATATTTCTTTACATATATTCCTATTTTAAAAATAAATAAAACTAAGAAAAAATACACAAATACATTAATTAATTAAAATAAAGTATGTGATAACTTGGTGTTAAAATTTAAAGAAACATTTATAATATAAAATGGAGATGAAATAAAGAAATATGCAACATAAAATAGTATTTTCCTATTTAAAAAGTTTATAATGTGTTTACAAGTTCAAAAATATTGAATATAGTTTTTTGATTAATATAGTAGAAAGCTCATGAAAAAAATTAGAGTTAGAATTTTTTATAAAAGATTTCTCCTATTTTTTAAATGTTATAATGTGTTTACAAGTTTAGAAAAATTAGAATATAATTTAGTTTATATAATAGGAAGTTAATGAGAACTTATATTCAGAATTCTTTTTAAAAACCCAAATAAAACATGAAAAGTTTAAGGATTGTGACATGTTTGTTTCAAAAATACAATCTATATTTACAAAACTAACATTATAGAAATAATCAGTCAGTCATTATGCTCAAACGATACCACAACAAAACATATATATAAACAGTAATACATCAAAATGCAAATACGATTCTACGAAAAGCTCGAGATGAAGTGTAGAGTTAACATCTTAATAAAATAAAACAAAACAAATTGATCATATGCTTAGTGTGAGTGATTTAGGTAACTCAAAATATAATAATGGAGATTAACACAAAACTATTATTATTCAAATCAACAAAGATAAATAAAATCATACAAAATAATTATCACAAACAACTCTGCGCATGCGCGGGGCTTCAATCCCTAGTTACTCTAATTTGTTTACCATTCAAAGCCAAATTTTGATAAAATAACAGTTGTCATGGTCATTCATAAATGAATAAAAAAAATTCTAATATAAATTTAAACAATAGTGAAATTGATGTGAGTATAACATGAGAAGAAAATGATGAACTATGAATGATGGAGGCACGACTATAACGGGGAAGAGGCCATTTCATTCCTTTGTTTATACAACTTCATGCCCATTCTATGATTCATTTATAATTTTTTAATTTGGGCCATAATAGCCCATTTCGCGCTTTTGTTTAGTACATGCCAAAGTTTGCTTCGGAGAGCCGTTGGCAAACCGAACATCTTCCCAGAACCTACTTTTGCAAGACCAAATTACTTTCTCTTCTTTTCGTTTTTGTTTTGGCTCGCTCTTCTTCATCTCCCTCTCAACTTTCTTTTTTATCTCTCACACTTTAAACTTTTTCCCCCTTTAATATATCAAGAAAAGAAAAAAAGAGAGATTCCTCTGCTTCTTCATTTTGAACAAGTTTCCCTTTTCTTGTTACTTTTAAATGACTTCATGTGTCTGTTTCAATTTTGAAACTTTGAGTCGCACATTCTCGATAATCAAGAATAGGAGAGGATGATGAAAAGATCTTCATTTAGTTCCAAGATGAGGCAGAGTCTCTCTGATATCACTAACTCTCAAGAAGAACTTGATCTTCAAGAAACCGGTTTAGGGCTGAGTGAACAAGTAAACCGGCTGATGAAGGTTTGTAATTTCTCATTCGGGATTTTCATCTCTTAACTTTTGTTGGTAATTGAAAAAATTCGATTCTGGTTTTGTTGGAAATCAGGAGAATGTAGCATTGGTTAAGCTTCTTGAAAACAGAGAGTATCCTTTTTTGTTCTATGCAGTTTCATTTAGTAATTTGTGTTAAATGCAATCAAATTCAAAGAAAGGTTGTATTTTCTTTAATCAAGAAAAAAAAGTAAAACAATTGAGGTAAGCAGATACGAATTGAGAAATCTACGCGAAGGCATACACAAACTACAAGTGCAAAACTTAAGTCTTGCTCAAACCAATTCCCTATTCTTAGCTGTAAGATTCATCTTCACCTTTCGTTTTTCTTGATTAATTTATTTGACAGAGTTCTGATCGTTATCGAAACCATTTCTTGTTTGTTTTGCAGGAGATTAATTTAGCAAGAAACAAGGTAAAAGCGTTGCACCACGAGCTTACTTGCAAAAATGCTTTGCTCAAGGCTAAACGTTGTGAACAAGAGGTTTTGTTTCTTACTTGCAACTTAGAGCTCTTTATCATATTCAAGATTTTTAATTTTAGTAGGCTTTAGATATTGCATTTGTATTTCAAACAAAAGTTGGATATGTGTTTCTAATATTTTTCGCACTTTTTCGGGTCAGAAAGAAGAAAATACACAACCAAGAAATGCACTAACAGCTGAGAATGTGCTTAAGATTGCGGATGAAGAATTAGAGAGACCTTTTGTACCAAACAGAAGGCGATTTATCAGAAGCAAATGTATATATTCAATCATCTTCCTGCCTCAGAATTTCTAATAACTATTGTTACTAAACACATTAATTTCTGATTGATCTTGATGGCGTCTTATACAGCCTTGGGAGCATCCACTGCGCACAAGGTTGAGGCAGAAAAAGAGAAATCTGAAACCAAAAGGTTTTTTCACTTAAACCCCTTTAAAAATTCGAGTTTTCGCTATGCTTCATGGTTTCTTGATCGTTATGTTACAGGAGACAGTATAGAAAGAAATCAGCGAGAGTTAGATCAGCAGCGCAAGAAGTGACAGAGAATCTGTTTGAGATCGAAGATCTTCAGCTTACAATGCCTAATGAAATGTGTCAACAAGATAACTCAACAATGGCGTCACAAACCCGAAAGAAAGAAGAGGAAGATGAAGAAAAAATACGAAGAAATAACCTACTTACAGGACATCAAGATTATAAGGTTCGTCAATCACCAGTCAATCGAACATTACGTAGATCAGCTGAGACAATACATTCTTCTTCAAGGAGGTTCCACTCAGTACTAAGATGAGAAGGTCTTAGGCTCTTATAGTAGGGATATATTTGTGTTTCTTTGTTTTAATAATAGAAGTACATAAGTTTAATCTCCTCTATCTTTCTAAGGTGGCAAAATCCTGATAATATAACCAAAAAAGAATTGTTTTCTTTTTCTTTCGGAGAACATTTTAGTACAAATTGGAGTATCCTATAAATTTTGTGGGAGATGTCAAGGAAAACTAATCTCTTGTTAGTATTTCACAAGATTGGGAGTGAAAGGCTCTCACTCTCACATCTGAAACAAAACAACGATCTTCTTGAAATGATTTACTATTCTTGGCCTTTTCTGAGTCATGGAATATAACGGGCCTTTAGAAACCTTATTTTAATTACCTAAATATCATGTTTAAAAACTAAGAGAAATCCATATAATACAGTGAAACTAATCACTATTCAAGTAGAATGTCTTTTAAAACGGAAATACGGAATAGAATTTTTCATGAGATGATATATTTTTGTTTTTAATGAGATGAAAATTTAGAAGAACAAAATTCATCAATTATTTGTATATGGAACTTGGAGTCGACAGGACGAAATGGAACAAAATGGAAAGGAGGGGAACAAAGTTGTTGCAACTAAAATCATACCTTAAATGTGTCCCTAAATGTGAATATGAGACAAGAGGCAAAACGACGAACGAGGTGAAAAACCAATTAATAGTGTATATGTTTAGCTTTGAGGACTTGAAGATGATTGTCATATTTTCATTATTATTTATTATAAATTGTTGAAAAAAATAATATTATGATTCGATTGTCCTAATGGAAAATTAATTCAATCATGTACCATCTTCTCCTTTTCAACTAGGATGTGAAACCTCTTAATCTTAGTCCAAAAGCTATATATTACCGAAGAACTTAGCAATATAAGTATAAATCTAATAAAAAGAACTTAGAAATCTAAGCTTTGTGTAAAGCAAAACATAAGGTGTTTTAACATTCCAAACAACAACAACAAAAATAACATAAGGTGTTGCTAAGTAGAAATCACTAATCACCTGATAAAATGGCTATCTTTCATTCTTTTTTGGGTCTAAAGTGTTACTGTTTTTCCTTGTTATTAATTGTTGTTTAAAGCAAAATGTATGGATTTCTAGAGAGAAAAAACTCAGTACTTGTGAGGTAATAACGAAAAGCCATTTGTTAATATAGAAACAAATCGTGGGGAAGTCTTTATCGCAGATGATGTAGACGGCCAAATATCACATGCCTAAGGCCAGAGAAGACGATAACACTTGGAAATAAGACAATAAATTATATTTCTCCCATTTTTAAGCCAAGGAGGTAATGAAATCTTCGAGAATTAGATTGGGGTCCACACTTTTCACTACTATCTCTTAGACATTGGGAAAAGTGGGTCATCATCATCACTATCATCATCACCAGTGGCGTTCATGCACCGATATATCTCTCTTCTAGATTCTTGATTAACTGTTCAAACGAAAATATTGTTTGCAATTGTGACATACTGAAGAAAATTATAGACAACAAATTTACTCAAACACAAAAATGTAAAATAAAGACACCACTCTATAGTCTATACAACCGCACTTTTTGTTTAACTATCTACACGATATATGATTCAACATTTCCCCTTTTATCAGCAAACAATAAAAACATTACCTGCCGTCAATTTTGTTTGTTTGTGTTGAATAAAGTCTTCTCTAACCGCTTATGCCTTATTCCATAAGAAAGTACAATAGCCGATCGTTGTTTGGGCTCGCAAGATCTATTGCTTTTTGCGCGTCTCAACTGATTTATTGCGTTATATGAATATGTATATAATAAACTAATATTGTATATAATTATTCTATATATAATTATATATATATCTTATTATATAAAGCTGGATGCGCAACGTGGTTGCGACACGTAGGATTTTTATAAAATTCAGGATCGCGACATGTGTCACTTTTAAGTTTATGTCCGTTAAGATCGTGACACGTGTCTTAGGAAAAAAAGAATTTCCAGAAAAATGTTAATTAAAAAAAACGAAATTTAATTTAATATATTATATCAAAAAGGAAAAAATAATATTTGTTATATCCAAACAGAAAAAGGTTTCCCATTCATCAATTTTTTATTATATAAAGTTGGATGCGCACGACGTGGTTGCGACACATAGGATTTTTATAATTTATAAGATCGCGACATGTGTCACTTTTAATGTTACGTCCGTTAAGATCGTGACACATGTCTTAGAGAAAAAAAAAAAAATAATAAAAAATTTAGATAAAGGAAATTGTTTTAAAAAAATTAATCCATTACAGTTAAAAGAAATAAAAATATATTTGTCATATCCTAATAGAGAAAGGTTTCCATTCATCAAATTAATATTATCCAAACAAATAATAAAATCAAAATAATGTAATAAATAAAATCCTATTTGTACATGGAATATGTTATGTAAACTAAATTTCCTATAACTGCATGTAATAGGTTACTTGAACCCCTATAAAAGAGAGTCAAGATTTCTCAATCATAAATTCATCAAAACAAATTCATCAAATCCCTTTGATTATATTTCTCCAATTTAAAAATCATGTTTTTGAAAGTTTTGCGATACATAGGATTTTTATAACTGACAAAATTGCGACATGTGTTTTAGAAAAAAAAAATTCTGGAAGTATGAAGATCGTAACATGTGTCATGGAATAAAAATAAAAAAATTAATATGTATAAGACTAACTAAAAATTAGAAAAACAGATAACAAATAATTAAAATGAAAAAAATAATACATCCATTAAAAGTAATAAAAAAACAGGAAACAAATAATTTAAATTCTTTTGTTACATCTATTAAGAAAAGGAAAAAAAATCCATTTCGAAAAGGAAAAATACCAATATATAGTATTTATAATGGTCGAGGCAAAAACAAAATTGAGAAAGAAAAAATATAAATAAAAACTAACAAAATAATTATCAAGCAATTAACTAATATTAAAAAATTATAATTGATATTCTAATTTTAAATAGTTTGATTTTCAATTTTTGTTAGGTAAAAAAATTGAAATAAAGATTTCATCAATTAAAATCTCTTGAATGGAATAATAAAAGTTTGATTAATTAATCAGTTGATCAGATTTAGACATGTGTAAGTCTTTCTGTATTGGATAAAAATAATAGTAAAACAAATTAATTCATTTTGTCATATCATAAATTCAAAAGAAAAATCAATTACAATAAAAATGTAAAAGTATTACCAATCTTATTTTATTTAAATATTTTTATCGGGTTTTCAATATTATTTTGTTTATGTTTAAAAATGATCAAATTTTGTTTAATATTTTCCATGCTTTTATTATAAAATCTTAAAATATACCCGCGTATACGCGGGCCTTAATCTAGTATATATATAATTCTGACATCTGCTATAATTCTTCATCAAATTTTTTTGGTAGTATAATTTGTCAATTCACCAATCAACCATGCATTATTGAAGATTGACTTGTTAATATTCATACTTCCAACAAATAATTCAAGACACCTTCGAAAAAACAACTTTCTTTTCTTTTCTTTGGGTCACACGACAATACAATAGCAAACAATAAAAATAAAATCACACAATATTACCACAATTATTAGAAAATCACCAAATGGAACAATACAAGAACAAAAAAAAAAACATTTTCTTTATAATCTCAAATCGTGGAGGACCGGACGCTCAACTACTGCACTCTAGTTTTCAGTGTGTGGACCCGTCTCAAGACCTCCCCCATTATTAACTTAAATGTATAATTTGATAATGGAAAATAAAATCATTTAAAAAAACTTTTTTCTTTGTTTGTTTGTTTGGTTTTAACATTCTGGTGTTTGTGTATGGTCTCTTTTAGGGTCATGGCAATAGTTATAGACCAAGAAGTTCCTCTGCGCCCATGCCATCGCCCCCATTTGTTGTCGGCTCAACCCTCGGTTCCCCATAGGTGAAGCCGATGGCGGTTGGCACGAGCTAGACTGGTCTGCCGTGCATCCCGCTAGCTTAAAGTTTCTATACTTAGCCACAAATGGTTGGTATCGATAGTCGGCTTTGATCCTACCGTTTTCTGTGGCCCAGTCCGATGCATCCCATATCGATCCGTACACCCACATCGGTCTTGTAGGGAAGATAGCTTCATTCTTTCTATCATACGTACGTATCGGTACATCATCTACGTAGAATCTATATATATGGAAAATTTACCAATTTAGAACGTGACAAATGGATATATTTAATATAACCACTCAACATACGTATTAAAAAGGTGATATTGACTTACACAATTTGATTAGGGTTCCACAAAATTGCGTAATGGTGGAAATCTTGAGTAGGGTCGAACCACAGGGTAAATTTCATTTCTCTCCCAATGACATTTCGGTCACCACTTCCTCTAACGAATACATTCGTCTGAAGGCTATAAGGTTTTCCCGGCGTCGTCCCTAGAAACTCGATATCGACCTCGTCGTGGTCTCCCGGATGCTCTTGATTGTTTGAGAGCTAGATATCGACAAATTGAAAATTCTTTTCATAAGTAATCTTGAACTAATACATTTACTTAGCTGGTTAATTAATTAATCAATTCCAATAATTTCTTACGTAGAGAGATGTATCAACTCCAGCTGTGTAACCTGGTTGAAGCTTAATGGAAGCCCCAAAGTAGCCCGACCTGTACGGCCGAAGAGACTTGAATCCACTCCCTGTTCATATTCAGAATTATTCACATTTAATCAGTCACTAATATTAATTAAATACGACAAAAGTGTCTACTATGAATGATAGTATGATTAAAATATAAGCTACCGACACAGTCTTACAAGAGGTGCGGTGTATAAAATAACATTAGAAACTTAAATGCGTGAGGTTCGATCAAGAAACAAGGAAAAACATCACTTACCTAACTTGATTCTAATCAGATTTATATTCACTGATATTATTTTTCAATGTTTTTTTTTTCATTGTAATGAATAGCATATAATAAGTGTAGACGTATAGAACGTGGACCAACGAATTGAGCCTACAAATATGGTTGCAAATGAGAAGAAGAAAGGGAAAGAAAAAGACCGGTGGATTTGTCGAGCCAAAGAGTGATAACATCTTGCTCTTTACGCTGGTGTTGAGATCCCCATAGAGTTCGAAATTCACGATCAAAGGGTGTAGTTGATACTCGGGAACTCGGGTAGTATCCTGGCGAAGGAGAACGCTGGCTGTAACCACCGGGGCACAAAACTAAGAGAGCTAGACCAAGTACAAGGACAAGAGGCGAAGCCATTTTGAGAGTGAAGTAGTAGTAAGAGCCTTTTGAGTGGTTACTACAAAAGGGAGAATAAATACATTTAAGAGAGGCGAAAGATTTTATGAAATGAATGAAAAAAAGTGGAGAACACAGGGTGCGTATAAATAGAATGATGTGTAGGTCCTACACTTATAGGAGTGAGTGACTGTTATCCGTTGATTGCATGGGCCTTATGGATTGATCCCATTCCCATGCCAAATATGAACATGAACATTAATTTCATGTCAACTTAAATAGAATATGAATCAAGAAAGAATATAAAGTAAGAAAAACATGAAAAATCAAGAAAAGGAAACTAAGAAATAGATTTGTATACTTTTTCCTATATAGAGGTTGATGTTTAGAAACTATACTTGCTTAATGAAAGTTTGGCTATATCCCTAATATATTAAAAAAGAAAACACTATCAAAATAACCTTTATCTCATGTGTTATTAACAAGAGTGTCATTGCTTAGGTGTCATCACCAGGTTCACTCTCAGCTCAACTTTTAAATAAGACAACATTTACTAGAAAAATTACAATATATGCCATTGCATATTATGCTTACCATCCCTTTATTATTATTTTCTTTCCTTAAATGGCAATTACGAAAATAAGTAAATAAGGAAGATATGAAATTCCAATTGATTTCTATCATAATATTTTTTTTAAATCACTATATATCTTCTATCATCTTTGTTTAACTTTATTTTATAAAATAATATGAATCATCATATAAGAAAACTAATAAAGAAAATCTAAATCTTTTTCTGAATATGCTATGATTTGAATTTTTAAAAACAAAATAATGTAAATTGTTTAGTATATAACCTCATTTAGTAGGTATCAAGCAGCTTCATATTATTTTTATTCCATTTAATATGGTTTTTAATTAAATTCTATAATAAAACTGAATAATTTTTTTTAATAAATTTTTATTTTGATTAAAAATTTGAATATTACTCCATCTATTTCAACTTTCATTATAAAGTTAATTATATTTTTATTGTTTTAACAATTTAGATTATGCAGATTGTCTTCTTATTGGTTGGATTGTTTTGAAATTATAATAAAGCATGTTTTAATTTTGAAAGACAGAAAAAAATCCATATTTTAGTTTTGAAAGAAAGAAAAAAAATGGTTTTAATCCGTGTTTTAGTTTTGAAAGAAGGAAAAAAAATTAATTATAATCCTTTTGAAAAAAAGAAAAAATTGATTTTAATCCGTGTTTTAGTTTTAAAAGAAAAAAAAATTAGTTCTAATATGTGTGCACACAGCTAAGACTTCTTATCTTATGAAATACAATATAATTTTTTTGTAAAGAATAATGTTTTATTTTCACATTTTTTGTTTTTTAAACTAACTTATTATACTGTAGTCATTTGAGTTTTATGTATCTCGCTTAAATCTATCATATTTAATATATGGCTACATCCAAGACTTTAATCTATTTACCTTTTTAAAAAATAGTAGAAAATGCTTGATTTTCATATTATAAACGAATAAACGAAGACAATAATCTAACAAAGATTAAAAATCCGTCGCATAAAATTTTGAGATATATTTAAATAAACATCTTTTAATAAAAATACAAATTCAGAAACCATCACTCCGTGCAGGGCGCGGGTCAAACCCTAGTAGTCTATATATAGCTAAATTTTAGATTTTTAGAAGGAAACTATTGCCGCCAATGGTAAATTTTATTTTTCTAAATAACTAATTATGTATGATAAATGACGAAAATATTCCTTGCGAGTTGGGCGAGGATTAAATCTTTTAGCGTCATCTTGCAGAGCACAACTGAAAAAGGTAAAGAAACAAAATCTGACATGGATAACAGATTGGAAGAGACGTCATTTGTAAATTTATCTTTAAAAAAAAAATCAATCCTATTTTCTTTTTATAATATGATATTTGATTCATGTATATCATCTCTAAAAATGATTTTGGTGCATACATGGAATTGTGTTCAAAGCATTCTGTTATTGATGAAAGAGTCACATAAAAAACTACTTATGAAGTGATTTAACCAATCCAAACATGAGAGGCAATTTTAGACTAAATTACAATTTTTTTTAATGGGACGTTTTACTAATTATTTCTAAACGTATCAAAAGATATTAAAACTCTTTTGGACAAAGATATTACTATATTATAGAAGTTCTAAAATAAATATTTATATTCAAATGCATCATATTTAAATACCTGAACATAATCTGGTTTACTGCCTAGTAAAACCTAATTTTTAATCTAGAACAACTGTCGGTCCAATCCATTGTCTCGTCCACCTTATATAAACATACAAGCTTCATATATGATATTGCAGTATATAAATATATTTCGTCGAATCTACAATGAACCGACCCAACAAAGTAAACGACATTTCTTTAACGGCCTATATATAAGAAAATGACATATCTTCGTTATTATATATTTGAACCCATTTCTTTCCTGCTTTTTTTGTAATTATTTTTTATAGAGAAATAAAATCGAAGATGTAACATGTTTGGTCAATTTCCTATAGGAGGTCACATGCATGGATAAGAAATTGGATCAATCCAATGTTTCTGATTTTTTTTATTAAATATATTATATAATTGTATGTTTCTATTCTCTGTTTATTTTCATAATATTTATTAGTTTTTTAGTAAAAGGATATTTCATAATATTGTTCAGTTATATGTAGATCTCTAGTTAGTTTTAACAGCAATGATAAATCTAAGAGCAGCTCCAATGGTAGTTTTCCAATAAATTTCTTATCCAAAAAGTAACAAAAAATAAATTGATAACCTCAAAGCCTTAAGAACGGATTTTCGTTTGAGCGTTTATAACACATGCCTAAACAGACGCTAAAGCATGATCATTAAGGATTAATGTGGGGGGATGAAGGCGTGATGGGAAAGTAGTAGGGAAGATACAAAACCTCGTAGCATAGATGAACTGAGAATATTGTGACCAACTTCTTACATAACCCATCCCGTAAAAAAAACATGACCATAGATGAAATGCGCATTCGTCAGCAAGTGAAAAAAAAATAGATTTGCGTTAATTTGGAGCTGGAGTGAGTGGTCATTCTCCTTTAGTATAATAAAGAAGACTTGAAACTTTGAGAAGTTAACACTCAAAGATCTGAAAGAGAGCTAATGGTGGCAAAAAGTAGAAAAACAGCAATAAGCAACTGAGCTGATGTTGTATATGGTTGTAGTAGTGGTTCTAACACTTTCTCAGTCAGTGGTTGTATGACTGTTTCTTCTTATGAATTAGTTGATAATAACTGTGCATTAGCCAGCTATAGTTGTAGTTACTCATTCGTCGTTATACCACTTGCAACAATGATCATGACTAGAAAATTAAAATGAATCCCGTTAAGTAATTTATGTGATCTAATGATTGAGAGACCTTGAGAGATTACCAGTGTAAACCAAAACCCGCGCTACGTTAACAATGTAAACCAAAATTCCGCATGTGGCACATCACACATGTATTAAATTGCAACTCTGATATTATGTAAGACTTTCGAACATGTATTCAAAAAAGTCTAAGAAAACGGACATTAAATTTCATATGGAAAATATGTCGCATGCATACTTCTTTATTGAGTCGCGATATATCTGTTACCCGATTAGGTATCATTCATGTTCAGTCAAGCTGATTTTACCAATATTTAATAGATTATATGGACCAAAATTCTTTACGATGCAATTGATATAAAATAAATATTTTTTCTGTTTCTTACATGGTTTTTATTAATCTTTTGTTTCTTTTGTTGTTCAACAAAATATATGGCTAAAACCAAAATATATATATATATATATGGGTTTTTTTAAGTAAGGTAAAAAGAGGTAAGCTGGTAAGACTTTCTAGACGGTCATCCATCCTAAATCCTAATATATATTATTATCGTCCAACCAATTCTTCAGAGTTTCTGATGGAATTGCATGGTTTTTATTTGGTATGAAATGTTGGAGAGTTTTCTGTCACGTTTGTCTTCCCATCATATGACAGTATCACCCCCCAAATCCCAATCCCATTACACGCTTTAGCAAAAAAGAAAAAAGAAGATAAAATGTATCATCTTCGAAAGCCGAATCTCTCACTTTGGATTCATTATGATCCAGCAAACATGGCATTCTCCAACGAACACCATCATCACAACTCAATCGTGTGGCAGATCACCCAAAATTCGTCCCTAACATAATTTTGCCCTTTTAAAAAAAATTATAGTGGAAATATTTTTGTTACCATATCATATAATGTTATTATATTGGTTATAGTGGCATTAGTGTAAATATTCACTTTTTTGTCACATTCACACACTTAAATTATTTATATTTGAACAACTGAACTTCGATACCACGACGTAATACTGCATTACTTATACAAATCACTAACTATATTTTTTGGAACAAATCACTAAATTATTAATTAAATAATACTGTACTACTATAGTACTATATTTTTTTTTAAGTACATATAGCAACAAATAACAATTCTTTTAATCGCGACGGTCAGCTAAAACATTGTTTGATTTATATATTGTCTAAAGGTCTTAGGTTTGTAATGGTTGGTACTGGTATTGATATTGGATTTGAACCTGTTGGTAACAAAATCAGGGGGGCTTAGGTGCATGAATCAGGCCGGGAAAAACGGACTGGCTATCTACGAACTACGAACATTGACATTTAATAATTATTTTTTACTATTATTTTAAAAGAAAAATGTCGACCGAAAAACGTAAGAGATATATTTTTAATTATAAACCACCTAATGTCAAATATTAGTTACAAATTAACGATACTAATTATTTTCTCCGTCTTTAGTATAAGATGTGTTAGATAAAGAAATTATCTTTTTAACAGATACAAATATAGCAAGAATTTTGGAAGCGCGTTACTATAAAGTTGTGAAAAAAAATAATTAGAGTTAGAGTGAGATCTGGTTTTAATACTTCATTGTGACGCAATTCGTGGATGTCATACCTTCCCTAGAGCAGTC